TTCTGGACCAGTTGGCTGTCGGGAGCTTTTCTCGGGGGGGGGGGGTGGAGGCCTCCATCAGCAGCCATCTACTTTTCCAGCCCCCTCAGATTGCTCTGCAAACTTGCACCCGCCCATTTGTGAGGGCGCTGATGTAGATTCTGAAGTCCTTTTGGGTTGAAAATGTGCTGACGTGGCGCCAGCCTGTGTGCCGCCCAGCCCGCCTGCCCGCTCTCCCTGCGCCTGCCTGGCCCACCCTTCTAGCCCCTCTCTGCTGCTCCCTCGACCCCATTCTGCCTGCCCTGCACCCCTACGGTGCCCTTGGGTGTGCCCAGCAAGTTTGGTGGGATTTGGACCCTGCCATGCTGCCCCTGCAGATGGTGGCACTCGAGGCGGCAATTAAAGAGGAGCATACGGCACGGTGGAATCCGGCAATCTGCCAGGTGCGGAAGCCAAGGAAGAAGGAAGGCGAGGTGGGCTTTGCCGCCGCAGTGCTGGAGCGCATAACCAAGCACTGCCATGGCTCATTGCTCATTGCTCAACGCTCATTGCTCATTGCTCAACGCTCAGGCCCTCAGCAACCGGAAACATGTATGCCGCCACCCTCTCCGCCGGGGTGCGCCTCGCACACAATCATCTCTATCGGTCACAGGCAACGCATCAGAGAGGGAGCCAGCGCCACGCGTGGAGCAGCTGGCGACCGGACTTCAAACCGAGACTGGAGGAGCGCAAAGTCATCGTCAGCGGCCTGGATCTTAACAGCGACGCCCCCCAGAAGGCAGAAGAGGCGCTGCAGCAGCTGATCGTGGAGATCCTGGGCGGCACCGGCGGGGCGGCGCCCGCCTGCTTGGCGGCGCCGCTCTGCACCCAAGTTCGGCTGGTGGATGTGTGGCGGGGCGCAGACAGGTGGCACGTCCTTGCCCTGTGGCCAGCAGACCTGCGGGATGCGGTTTGGCGCCGCAGGGCACAGCACCTGACGGGCACGGCGCTCAGCGTGGCCGATTGGAACAATGTGTCAGCAGCAGCGGCGCCGCGGCGCCAGGCCCAGCCAGCAACTGCACCAGCACAGCCGGGCACCCCCGCGCCGCAGCCAGGGACCAGCCCCTCCCCCCTCCCCACGTCTGACCCGCCCCCCATGCCCCCAGCTGGGCCGCAGACC